CTCACAGTCAGTAATCATCTGAGAGATACATATCAAAATGATAACGAGTTACCATATCACACTGTCTGAATGGCTATCATCAACAAATCAACAGTGAAGATCCAAGATGGTGGCTTAGGTAAACACACCTAAACTGCACAACCATTTCAAAACTACAACTAAAAGACAAAACGCCTATCACCCAGAACCATGGGAAAGCTGGCTGAGTGGAAGCTCTACAACTAGACTGAAAGAGAAAGGAGAATTCAGGGCACAAGCGCTGAAACACTGAGTTACAGGGACATGCGATATGGGTTGGTGGCTAATCCTGGCTGGCGGAGGGTGTTGCTTTCTTCAACCCGAAGAAAGACAAGCTCCCAATCTCTCTGAAATCCAGTTTCTGGAAAGAAACTGGACTGTCTGCCATCAGGTCAGAAAGTGAGGGTGGCTTGCTTGCAGAGCTGCTCATAAGAATAATTGTTTGCTGTTCTGGGAAGTGAGATGCAGGGACGCAGTCAGAGAGGCAGAGACTGGCAGCTATCACTGTTTGCCACGCCTTAGCCTAGTGATGCCCCGAGACTCCTCCCAGCACAATCTACAAACACACCCAAGCACCAAGCAACGGCTTTTGCATATGAATGGCCTTCGCTATTACAGTTTAACCTAGCAAACTTGCAACCTGGTGCAGACAGCTCCAAAGCCTCCAAACTCCAAGCAAGGAGGAGAGGACTGTGGTTCTTGCTGTAGCTCCTGCAGGGTGGCCTCAGACAGAAGCTGAACTTTACCCCATTGGAGATCCAGAAGCCAGTGTATCTAATGGTCATTGTGAGACACAAGACTTCAACTCCTCACATCCATAACTGACACATTTGGGAGGTGGACTCGGTGAGCACCAAAGCCCCACTGAAACAAGGCCTGTGCCATAAGCGTGTCTCCAGTGCAGCAATTCTTTCATTATAGACACAGGGGGTCCTCACAGCCAATTGGCCTCATGTACCAACAGCAATCAAGGCTTAACCAAGACTTTGCACTCAGCCCACAAAGGGATGTACCAAGAGCAACCACCTCGGGTGATGGGGGAAACTGAGCTACTGGCCCCTATAGGTCACCTACCACACAAAGCCACTCGATCAACACAGGGAGGCAACCAAAATGCGAAGACACAGAAGCATGTCTCGAATGGGATAGATGGAGTAAACTAAACTACTGGACGACACAGAGTTCAGAATCACATTTATAAGGTTACTCAAGAGCTTCTAAAAACCACTGAGAAACTTGAAGAGACCTTCAAGGACCTTAATGAGAATACCAAAAAGAAGGGAAAAGTACCAGTCAGAAATTAAGCGTATACTGTCTGAAATAAAGAATATACAGAAACTCAACTGTAGATCAACGTACCCCAAGAGTCAAATCAAAGATCTGGAATATGAAGATGCAAAAAACACCCAACCAGAGAGGCAGAAAGAAAGAAGAATCTAAAAGTGTGAGGATAGTATAAGGAGCCTCTATAACGGCTTTAAGTGTACCAACATCTGGATTTTTGGGGTGCCAGAAGAAGAGAGCAGGATATTGAAGGCATATTGAAAGAAATAATGACAGAAAACTTTCCTTACCTGGTGAAAGAAATAGACTTACAAGTCCAGGAAGCACACAGAACCCCAAACAAAAGGAATCCAAAGAGGACCACACCAAGACACATCATAAAATACCAAGGGCAAAAGACAAAGAGAGAATATTAAAAGCAGCAAGAGAAAAACAGTTAATTAGCGACAAAGGAGCACCCATGCAATTGTCATTTCTCAACAGAAACTATGCAGGCCAGAAGGGAGTGGCAAGAAATATTCAACGTGAAGAACAGCAAGAACCTACAACCAAGATTACTCTACCCAGCAAAGCTATCATTCAGAATTGAAAGTCAGATAAAGAGCTTCACAGTCAAGAAAAAGCTAAAGGAATTCATCACCACCAAACCAGGATTACATGAAATGCTGAAGGGTATTTCTTAAGAAGAGGAAGAAGAAGAAAAAGGTAAAGGTAAAAATGATGAACAACAAAAAGACAAGACATTAAATACATACCTACCAACAAGTGAATCTAAAAATCAAGTGAATAAAAAGTCTGAAGAACAGAATGTACTGGTGAATATAATAGAATCAGGTACATAGAAAGGGAGTGGACTGACAATTCTCAGGGGGAGGGGGTCTGAGGGGTGAGGGAAGAGATTGGACAAAAATCTTACACCTATGGATGAAGACAGTGGCAGGGGGTAAGGGCATGGGATGGAGTGGGGAATCGGGTGGAGAGAATCTATGGGGGGAAAAAAAGAGGAACACCTGTAATAATCAGAACAATAAAGATCTATTCAGATCAACAAATAGCAAATGCTGGGGAGGATGCAGAGAAACAGGAACCCTCATGCACTTCTGGTGGGAATGCAGACTCATAAAGCCCCTGTGGAAAATAGTATGGATTTCTTCAAAAATAAAAAATGTAACTTTCATTTGACTAAGGTGCATAATTCTTAAACAACTGTGGCTGTATTCTTATGTGTCATTCCCCACTATCATAATATTTTAGGGGGAGGGAAGAGCATTGGTGTTAGACTCATTGTTTCACACTGGACCAGGTTTCTGCAACCTTGGTACTGACTTTTGGCTAGGAAAGAATTAAGAGCCAAGACCAATTCTCTAAGAAAATATTTATTTGGCTAATCACAGAGGCAGAAAATAATATTTAGAAGAAATGGGCTTAGGAAACAAGTTATAGAGTTAAAAGAAGCTTGGGAGTGAGAAAGCTAGTAGGTGCCTGGGGAGAGGTTTAGGGAAGGGGAGGAGGAAGTGGAGGCACAGGGGTATTCCTGGGAGGGAGAGCTCACTAGGTCCTTCTTCCTAAGGGTTATTTAAGAATGGAGCTTTTAGGGGAAGATCTAAATAGAATATTCAGCAGTTTTCCAGGTGAGCCCATTCCGGGTTGTGGTCTCCACTGATTGATTGGCCAGCACCAGGGCAGGGGGTCATTATTCAATGTAGCTGGTACTGAAGTCAGCTGTGGCTGTTTTATTGCTTATGTGGGCCTACAGCTGAGAAAACTGAGGCTTAGATGTTATCTTTAGGGAGGAAAGGTCAGAGGGTCCAAACCACAGTATCAGAGATATGTAGAGGAGGAAAGGTCACTCTGGGAGTGAGATCCTACCCTACAATTGTCCTTTGCTAGGCATCTGGGGCTTTCTGTCCTGGTGACCTTCTGTACACGGCCCATTGTCTTTGCTCTGTTCATGTCTACCACAATATTAACAATTAAGTTCTAAAGGAGAAAAACAAATGTATCAAGAGTAAATCATTTAGCCCTAGCTGATTTGGCTCAGTGGATAGAGCAGCATCAGACTGAAAGGTCCTGGGTTTGATTCCAGTCAATGGTATCTGGATTGCAGGCTCATTCCCAATAGAGGGCATGCAGGAGGCAGCAGATCAGTGATTCTCTTTCATCATTGATGCTTCTATCTCTTCTTTTCCCTTCCTCTCTGAAATCTATAAACATATGTTTTGTTTCGTTTTGTTTTAAAAAAGGAGTAAATAATTTAACCCTGGCCAGTTGCTGAGGCAAGGGGGCACTTCCCCAGTACCCAGTGGTTAGAGTGCAGGCCTGGATTGCATTCCTGGTCAACAGCATGCATACTTCGGGTTGTAGGTTTGATCCCTTGGTCTAAGGCAAACAATCATGTGTCTTTCCCACATCAATGCTGCCTTCCCCCCACCCTCTCACCTTCTTTCCTCTAAAACAGTGGTCAGCAAACTGCAGCTCTTTGGCCCCTTGAATGTGGCTAGGTGTTAGGACCACTTCTTCAAAATAGACTTGCCCAGGCTGAAAACCAGCTTCTGCGTGTGTGCCACAAAGTTTCAGTTGCTCTGCAGGAGTGGTATTTTGTGGAAGAGCCATACTCAAGGGGCCAAAGAGCTGCATGTGGCTCTAGAGCCGTGGTTTTCCGACCACTGCTCTAAAATAGCAATGGGAAAAAACATCCTCTGGTGAAGATTAACGAGTATGCATATAAGCTTAACCAATGGACACAGACAACAGGGGGGTAAGGGCATGAGTCGGGGGGGGGGGGGTATTTAAGGGAGTAATGAGGAGATGAAGACACATATGTATACCTTAATCCAGTGTTTTTCAACCTTTTTTGGGCAAAGGCACACTTGTTTCATGAAAAAAATCACGAGGCACACTACCATTAGAAAATGTTAAAAAATTTAACTCTGTGCCTATATTGACTATATATAAAGTAATTCTCTTGAATAGGAATCAAATAAACACAAAGAAAGTATTTTATAATTACTTTATTATGAAATATTAAGTAAACAAAATAGTGAAAAATTATAAAATTCTTGTCTTGTCTGCACCTACGGCACACCAGGCAACAGTGTGCCGCGGAACAGCGGTTGAAAAACGCTGCCTTAATCAATAAGTAAGTTTTTTTTTTGTTTGTTTTTTTGTTTTTGTTTAGTAAACCATTTAGCTCTCAAGAACAACTTGGCCGCAGGTCTGGCCCACTCCCTCTTTACCATTTTCAGATATGTCGTCTCTGCCTTCACCCACTGCTATCTGATGGTGCCACTTAATGAGCCACTTAATGACACTACTACATGCCAGCTTCACACCTCCATTTCCGGCAGCTTGCGCATATCTTTTACAATCAGCATCCTAATGCCACAAGTCATGAGGTCGCTCAGGATCAATCTGAATGTACTTAAAACAAAAGTTCTTTGCAACAGTGTAGGTTTCAGGGGTTTTTTGTTGTTGTTGTCTGTTTTTTAAAGCGCTATCTTGCCTACTGCCCCTAGAATTCTGCACAGGCCACCCAAGGAGCAGGGAGCTTCCACAGGCCGCGGGAAGGCATCTGCGCAGTCAGTTCTGCCCGCAGCGCTCAGCCCCGCCCCTAAGAGGCGCCGTTGCCGTTAGCTCCCCGAAAACACCGTAACCATTGGTCTGCGCGGTCGCGCAGGCGCAGTTCGGCCCGCCGCGGCCCCGCCCCTTTTCCTGCCGCGGGTCTGGAGTCTGGTTTGTGAGGTGACGCTGGCACTCGAGGGCCTGAGAAACTGGGTGGTGGACTCCCGCCGTGTCTCAGCACCACGGAGGTGCAAGGTGTGGCCGAGGGCGCGGGGCCGGCTGCCGCCTGCGGTGCGCTCCGCCCCGGGGCCCTGACTCCAGCCCACGGCCAGGCAAGCGCCTCGCGCCTCACCTTCCTGGTGATGCGTCCCGGCGGCAGGCAGGAGGAAGCTGCGGCCGGGGGCGTCCTGCGGCGGGCTCCTGCCCTGGCGGGCGGTGGCGGGGCGGGCCAGCCTGTTCCTTGTGAAGTGGTGGGGGATGGAGAGGAGGACGCGGGGGAGGACGAGGCCGACCTGCTGGACACTTCGGACCCTCCGGCGGGAGGCGAGAGCGCGGCTAGCGTGGAGGACCTGGAGGACGAAGAGACCCACTCGGGGGGCGAGGGCGGCAGCAGGGGGGCCCAGAGGCGGGCGAGCGGCGGGGGCAGCCAGTGCAAGACCTGCACTTACGAGGGCTGCAGCGAAACCACGAGCCAGGTGGCCAAGCAACGCAAGCCGTGGATGTGCAAGAAACACCGCAACAAGATGTACAAGGATAAGTACAAAAAGAAGAAAAGTGACCAGGCCCTGAATTGCGGTGGAGCCGCCCCGGCTGGCAGTGCGGGGAACGTCAAACTGGAGGTATTAGACTTTAACTAGGGTCTAGTGAGGAGAGGAGGGGAGGGAAGCAAACCCATTCTTGTGCAAACCTCATTTCCTGCCCTGCCCACTGGCCCTTATATGGACCGTGTTGCCTGGTTGGACTTGAGGCTTGAGAGCGAGTGAGTGCTTGCCTTAAAGTTCATACAAACGTGTGCATCCTTGTAATAGATGAATAAATTTTAATGAAAATGATGTTGCACTTAAGAAAAGATGTAATTTCTAAGGTCTGGGATATGAACTGGAAGGACAGATAGTAAATGATTGATCCGGTTCATAACTAAAGGAGCAGGCAAAGAGACAGGAACCCAGATAAAATTGGTACTTTGGAGAAGGTAATCTCTTACTATTTTCACTACCCTGTCTATTGTCAGTATCACAGTTCTTAGCACTCTGCTTCTTGTATCCCTATACTTAATACCCTATTCTCAGTAAACCCATGCTTAGTTCCCTGTTCTCACTACTACTTTTTTTTTTTAGTACCTCTGGAGAAAAATAATTGAATAATAAATTGGGTATATGCCTCAGAAATTTTTAGATTGTTTGAATTGAACTGAGTTGCCAGGTAAAGTCAGTAGGCTGGTATTGGACTGCTGACTGCAAATCTCCATTCTATCATTTCCTGGCCATGTGCCCTTGAACTCTTTTAAGCTTAAGTTTCTTCATCTGTAAAAAAGCTGTTAAAATAGTGCCTAGTTCAAAATGTTACTGTGAATAAGTGAGGTATTCCATATTGAGTGTTCATATGGTGTCCAGCAGATAGTAAAAGTCAATAAGCCTTAGCTATTACTGGTGTCACTAGAGGCCCGATGCCCGAAATTCACACAAGAGTAGGCCTTCCTTTCCTGGCTTCCCGGCTTCCCTGGCAGCCCTGGCTTCCTCTGGAAGGACAGACATAGGATCTAATTAGCATATTATGCTTTTATTATTATAGATTATTAGTGGTATTCTTTGAGGTTATTGAAGATAAGCAGATACTTCATCCTGTGTGTTTTCCTTCTTTTAATACTTCTTCAGTGCAGAGAAAACTTGAATTTTGTTAAAAGCGATTCAGAAAATAATTTTTAAAACTGAGAGCTGTCCTAGAATGTATTTTAAAAGTGTTTAAATTAGTTAGTTCTTGGCTGGACTTGAACAACTGCCTCATTGCTCAAATTTCAGATTTTGTAATTGTTTACAAATGTAATGTTCTAAATATTTCTAATATCTGAAGTCACAAACATGTACTTAATTTACACTAATTAGGGTCTTCTGACTTCTCATTCCCTTTCATTCCATTGAGTTTTAATCTGTTTATGGTAAAAGGACTTCTTTTAGAATTTGATGACACCCAATGAACCCTTTTCCCAGAAAAATGCACATATGTAGGTATTTAATTTTTCATACACATTCATGGAGTTCAGGATGCCTGTGGATCTTAGGTTTAAAACCTGCCCCATCCGTTCTGGATGGCGACGTAGCGGTCCAGCGAGATGGCACAGAGGTGCATGATGGAGGCTGTGGAGAAGAGCACATCCAGGTAAATCCAGATTGCACAGAGCTTGCTAGGCAGAGGCCACTGGTAACCTAGGATGCAGAAGCTTAGTGTCAGTAAGCGGCCTTATGCTGCCTCTGGCGTGAGGATTCTCTCCCACTGCAACAGTCTCCGTCCTGGGGAAAGGCACAAGAGGCAGCAAAGGGCAACATGAGAGATTTTCAGTATTTCAAAAAAGCCTAATAAGAACTGTGGTCCACTACAATATGATTTCTCTTTAGCATTTCTTTCACTCTGTTCTGCCTAACAAAATATATATTTTTGCTTTGTTTTGTTCTTAAATTACTTAGGTCATAAGTTATGACGTATTTTGGACTCCTGTATGAAGCACCTCACAGTATACTGTCCTTACTTACTCACACGTCTTTCACACGTTTTCTGTTTCCTGTGCTTAGGCCCATCCCTTTGTCATTATTATAATTGCTCAGTCTTACCCCGTGATGGCATTTAGAAGTCTCTCCATAAATGCTATTGGCGTGAAGGAATAAATGACTAAAAATCCAAAAAACCCCACAAAAAACAAAAAAAACCCTGCCCCATCCATATCCTTGTAAAATGCAATATTTTACCACATCTCAGATTACAAGCAATTATGGAAATAAACATCACACTTATTACAGAGTGAAAGTCAGTAAAGGTGGTTGTTTATCTTTTTGTATATTCCAAATGTACCCATTCACTTCATAGTTCACTTCAGAGAGAGAAGATAATGTACTTACTTGCATTTTTCAAGAAAGATGTTATTTACCTGGAACTATTGTCTTTTTTCTTTCTTTTTATTAAGGTATATTATGTGTACATATCTTACCATTGCCCCCCTCCCATACATGCCTTCCCTTCCCAGAGTTTTTCGTCCATTGGTTTTGCTTATATGCATGCATACAAGTCCTTCGGTTGATCTCATCTTCCCCAGATCTCCCTACCCTCCCCGCTGTAATTTGACAGTCTGTCTGTTGCTTTACTATCTCTGTATCTATCTTTTTGTTCATCAGTTTATAATGTTCTTTATTATCCATAAATGAATGAGATCATGTGGTGTATTTCTTTAATTGACTGGCTTATTTCACTCAGCATGATGTTCTCCAATTCCATCCAGGTTGCTGCAAATGATAAGAATTCCTTCTTTTTTATGGCAGCATATTATTCCATTGTGTAGATGTACCGTAGTTTTTTGATCCCTATTGTCTTTTTTAAAATGGGCCAGCATTTCCATCTATAGCTTGAGGAAAATGTATAAAAGGTAAATTGATACTGAATTACAGTCTCTCACCTCCTCCTCCCCCCCCCCAAAAAAAAAAATACAACTTTAATAACGTTCCTTTTCAAAAATAATTTAGGTGATTTTTTTAAAAAAAATATATTGATTCTTTACAGGGAGGAAGGGAGAGAGATAGAGAGCTAGAAACGTCGATGAGAGAGAAACATCGACCAGCTGCCTCCTGCACACCCCCCACCAGGGATGTGCCTGCAACCAATGTACATGCCCTTGACCGGAATCGAACCCGGGACCTTTCAGTGCGCAGACCGATGCTCTACCACTGAGCCAAACCGGTTTCGGCAATTTAGTTGATTTTTGACGCTGGCCATTCAGCAGGTGTGGAGGTGATGTCTCATTGCCATTTTAATTTGCATCTCTCTAATAATTAGTGACTTTGAGCATTTTTTCATTTTCTTGGCCATCCGTACTAGTGTGTTCACTTTAGAAAAGTGTCTGTTTAGGTTCTTTGCCCATTTTTTTGTGTGAAAAAATTTATGAAAGATAAATGTGGAGATAGGGTTTGAAGCCAATTTTTATATGATATTGAATGCCTGGTTCTAGGTTTTGGATTTGGAGTCTTTAAATGAAAGTTTCAGTTTAGGGAGTTACTGGGGTTCCTACTTTATTGGGGTGGGGTTAAAGTCAAAAGGTGATAGCTGTATAGACTCTTTAGGGAGATCATTATAGTAGGGACTCATAGATGATGATGTGGGTCTTCTGCTATAGTTTGAGCAGCAAGATTAGAAATTAATGTATTTAAATCAGTGTTTCTTACACAAATCAAGGTTAAATAAGGAGCACATTTTTATATATGTAAAAGTTGAACCTAAGTAAAAACCATCTAAATGTTAGAGCTTTTCAAAACCAAATGGGTTGCCTCAAAAGTTGGTTAAACTTCTTAGGACAAAAAGCATTCAAAATCTTTGAAAAGGGAATTCCAATATTTATAAAAGTTTGGACTAGACAATGCAAGGTTATTTCCACTATAACTTTCTATGATTTTGTGATATTAGCATTCTGAATTTACATAGTACTTTGTCAGGGGTTATCCAGAATGCAAGATACTCTGCCATCAAGTTAATTTCAGCATTCTATTCTCGCATACATAAAAATGAAATAGTCCCACAGAGTGGTGATTATGAGAGATAAAAAGGATTTGGGGGAGGTGGAGGAGAAAAAAGGGGGTTAAATATATGGTGACAGAAGGAGACTAGACTTTAAGTGGCGAGCATACAATCAAGTATACAAATGTCGTATTATAAAGTTGTACAAGTGAAATTTATATAATACTAGAGGCCCTGCGCACCGGAGCGGAGGGGGATCCCTCAGGGGATGTCCGCCTGCTGGCAGGGAGCGGCCTAAGCTGGCAGTTGGACATCCCTCAAGGGGTCCTTAGCCCTGCGGCGGAGGCAGGAGAGGCCACCTCCACTGCCACTGCTCTAGCCAGCCATCGGCCTGACTTCTGGCCGAGTGGCTCTCCCCCCATGGGAGTGTACTGACCACCAGGGAGCAGCTCCTGTGTTCAGCATATGCCCCCTGGTGATCAGTGAACATCATAGCAACTGGTTATAACGCTGTTAGGTCGATTTGCATATTAAGGTTTTATTATGTTAGATGATTAATCTTTTCCCAATAAGTTTAATTTTAAAAATTAGCCCCATAAATAAAGTTAACCCTTTAAGGAAAGAGGAAGGGAGAAATTACTTTAGCTTTCCCTGGGTATTAGAATACTCTTTTTTAGTTGTTACTTTTATTTTATTATTTTATTTTATTTTATTTTATTATTTTATTTATTTTATTTTATTTTACTTTATTTTATACTTGAAGCCTAAATTGTTTAGGTATTGGACATTTAAAAAAAAAATCCAAAATGTGTTTATTGGGGTGGTAACCCACTCATCTTGATTTGAGGTGCTTTTAGTGCTGTTTCCTTCTGAAGGAACATCCTTCTATAAGCCTTGCTTTTCTTATAATGAAAAAAATAAAGGGATATTCTAATAGACAATTCAGAAGCAATAGAGTGAAGCCCAAGAGAAAAAAACAGTTTTGATAATAACCTAAATGAAGAATAAAGAGATGGGTCAACTCACAGTAGGCATGACTATAAAATAAGACAAATACAGTTTTATATTTTTTTAGTCAGAATTTTTGGATGTGGTCCATACTATATCATGTATTGAGAATGTTGGAGTCAACTAGAACAATACACCGTATTTTGTTATGCCAGGAAAATTTAAGATTCAATCAGATAACTATGGGGGTACATATTTGGTAGGAAGTGCTACTGATTTTGTTTGGGTAATGATGTCATAATGTCCTTTTAAGACTCACTTATTTTGTTTATGCTAGTGTTTTCCAGTCTTTTTCAAAACAAGTTTGTCATTTTTCTCCTTAAAACTTGTAAATTTTGAAAGCTTTGTCTTGTCAGTTGTTGCCTTAAGCAATTTTACTGCCTCTCCCCTCTTCCCCCCTTTTTTTGTTATTTGGACAAAAAAGTGCCAGTTAGAACATCTTAATATGTAAATTGCCTTTGAGTTCATATATTCAATCCAAAGGCAGGCAGACTTTGTTTTGGCCTGGATAGCTTTTATGGAGAGAATGTTCAATTTTTACTAGGCATTTTTTATAAGATTGACAGTAGCTCACAAGTAACTCTTTGTACCCCTCCCCACCACTACTTCTGCCCCACTATTAATTTTAAGACCCTTAAAGATACTGAAGACTCCAGGTTTGAAATCCTAGAGCCGTGGTTGGCAAACTGCAGTTCGAGAGCCACATGCAACTCTTTGGCCCCTTGAATGTGGCTCTTCCACAAAATACCATGGCCTGGGCGAAGTCTATTTTGAAGAAATGGCGTTAGAAGAAGTTTAAGTTTAAAAAATTTGGCTCTCAAAAGAAATTTCAATTGTTATACTGTTGATATTTGGCTCTGTTGACTAATGAGTTTGCCGACCCCTGTCCTAGAGAGAGAGAGATGGAGTGAGGAGTATTACATCAACTTAATTGTCAACATGTTGCCTATTTCTTGTCCAGGGACTGGACAAAAAGGAAGACCTATTTACGTCATCATAGAAATGGCTGTAATAATGAATTACTTTCTTAAATGTTAATCCTATTTGCACTTTTATAATTTATTCCAGGAAACTACAGATAGCATTCTCTCAATTGTTAAACAAAGAACAGGAGCTTTGGGGGATCGTCCTGCAAGACCTACACTTTTAGAGCAAGTGTTAAATCAAAAAAGACTGGTAAGTATCTGTTTTTTAAGTATTTACAAGCCTGTTAACAAAAGTTGTTTGTTATAAATGGAAAGTTTAGATTTTAAAAATTGTTAGACAAATCAGAATTGTGCCTCTACATGAATGCTCATAATTTTCTCACAAGAGTATATGAGCAGGAATTTTTTAAGTTTTTATATTGTTGTTTTTGTTTGTTTGTTTGTTTGTTTTAGAGAGAGACAGACAAAGGAAGGGAACTGGGAGGGAGAGAGAAACATCAAAATATCGATTGGCCGACTCCTGCACACCCTCTACTGGGAATGGAGCCTGAAATCCAGGCATGTGCCCTGACTGGGAATGGAACCCATGACATCTTAGTGCATGGCTGAGCAGGAATACTTTTAATCCTATATCTTCAGGATATCTGAGCAAGTTGGGATTTTAAAATAAACTTCTTATACTGAATTCTGGAGTTTGTGGAATAATGCTCTAATGATGTTGAAATATAATATACTAATATTTAATAAGGACCTCTATTATAAATTTGATAGAAGATATCAGAACTTAGGAGAGATTACTCAAATACTGGAATAATTGGATAATATATATTTTTTAATATATTTTATTGATTTTGTACAGAGAGGAAGGGAGAGAGATAGAGAGTTAGAAACATCGATGAGAGAGTGTCATCCATCAGCTGCCTCTTGCACACCCCCTACTGGGGATATGCCTGCAACCAAGGTACATGCCCTTGACCAGAATCGAACTCGGGACCTTTCAGTTCCCAATCCGACGCACTATCCATTGAGCCAAACCGGTTTCGGCTGGATAATATCTTGAGGACAAAAAGAAAGGACACTATAAATGGAAATAAATTCCTGATAAAGATTTTTTTTTAATTAAAAAAATAGAATTAGGACTTTATCTCAAAAATCTGGAATGGAAACTCTGGCCCTTGTGGGTGTTGTCCTGTGCACAGAAAAATTGCCAGCTTGATTTCCTGTTAAAACACATGCCTGGGTTGTGGGCTCAATCCCCAGTATTTGGCATGCAGGAGGCAGCCTACCTATGTTCAGTTTTCACATAGAAGTTTCTCTCTCCTTTTCCCTTCCTCTCTTAAAAAAGACTCGTACTAATTTGTTTTTAAATAGTTATAAAAATTAATAAAAATGTTTTTTTAAAAATTTGGAATGGGAATTTTTTAGTTTAAAAGAAGTAGGCAGAATTTCAGAGAAGATTATAAATTTGACTACGTAAAAAATGCTAAAGTAAAAAATGGTGATAAAAATAACAATGCATTGCCGAAACCGGTTTGGCTCAGTGGATAGAGCGTCGGTCTGTGGGCTGAAAGGTTCCAGGTTCGATTCTGGTCAAGGGCATGTACATTGGTTGTGGACACATCCCCAGTGGGGAGTGTGCAAGAGGCAGCTGGTCGATGTTTTTCTCTCATCGACGTTTCTAGCTCTCTATCCCTCTCCCTTCCTCTCTTTGGAAAATCAATAAAATATATTAAAAAAAAAAAATAATGCATTAAAGTAAAAAATGGTAAAAAAATAAAAATGCATACTTAAATAACAGGAAAAATAATTTTAGCAAATATTAAAAAACTATGGTTAGCATTTTGTTATATAAAATATGAGTTATTGAGGAAAAAATTTGGCTTCGCTATATTGTAAAAGATATAACAAGAAGGAAACAGCAGAATTTCTACCATTAAATTATATACAAAGGTATATAGTAATGCAATATTGTGATAATATAATAAACAATAGCCATAAATGGAAACAATTTAAATAACACAGTGATATTGAGGGTTCCATGAAATAGGCACTCTAATTTTGTTTGGTTGGTGGCATCATATATTGGCTCAATGCTTCTAGAAAGCAGTTGAACACTTTCAAGCATCCCCTTTGACTCAGAAATCATATTTACTGTAAAGATGTTCGCAAAAAATAAACCCGAAATATGAATAATGTTAAGCATAAAGATATTTTCAGAAATATATTTATCATAAATAGTAAAATAGTAGTATAAACAATCTAAATGCTCAACAGTTTCATAAAAATTAAGAAGACTGTTATATATTTATTTAATAAAATGTTGGATAGTTTATACAACTAAATTTTAGATAAAACTAATAAATAGAAAATGTATTGTGCTATATGCTATTTTAAATTAGTGTTTAATGATAGTATTTCTATTTCATCTTTTCAGTTTATCTTTTTCAATTTACTGGAGCCAGAGTTTTCTTTTTCATCAATTTTATATCTATTTTATTATAGAAAAAACACACATTAACCATAGTCTTTTATATTTGTTATATGATTACAACTGTATTTTAAAATAAAACATGTTCTAAAAGTATTGGCTATTTTAAAGCAGTTGTATTCTTTTCAGAAATTTTGGTAATGTACTTATCAATGCACACATAACCTATATTTAAACACACCCCCCCCCCCCCAAATAAACACACAATTTTTTTATTTCTTCAGAAAAATTTAGTAAAAGTTTGTGGAGAAATTTGAGTTCTAATACCAATCTTAAATGTATTTTCAAAGTGTCATTTAATTGCCATTTTCACATGTGGCCTCTTTTCATTTTCTTTGCTCTAATCTTGGGTCAGTGCTTTTGGCTATTTACTCTTAGGTTTTTTAGAGAGTATATATGCTGGCATCTATAATAATAAAAGTAATATGCAAATCAACCCAACGGCTGCCCAGATGACAAACAACCTTCCAGGTGACCTTCCAGACAAAGCCGGGGCTATGAGAGCCTACTCTTGCATGAATTTCATGCATCAGGCCTCTATATTATATAAAACATTTCCTTTGTGTACGAAGTCACAAATAAGATCAGGTTTTGTTTTTAGATTTTAGTATTTTGATGTATGATATCAAATTTTATTACTTTACTAGAGGCTTGGTGCATGAAATTCATTCATGGGTGTGTGTGCCCCTCATCCCAGCCTGCACCCTCTACAATCTGGGACTCCTTGGGTGATGCCCAGGCCTAAACAGACAGTTAGACACCCCTCTCACAATCCAGGACTGCTGGCTCCCAACCCTCGCCTACCTGATTGCCCCTAACTGCTTCTGCCTGCCAGCCTGATCACTCCCTAATCACTCCCATGCCAGCCTGATTGATTCCTAAATCCTCCCCTGCAAGCCTGTTTGCCCCAACTTCCCTTATCTGCCGGCCTGGTCACCCCTAACTGCCCTCTCCTGAAGGCCTGGGTCTCCACATGGGGCAGCCATCTTGTATGTTGGAGTGACAGTCAATTTGCATATTAGATAGGTTAGAGGCCTGGTGCACAGGTGGGGGCCAGCTGGTTTGTTCTGAAGGGTGTCTCGGATCAGGGTTCCCTTGGGGTGTGGGGTGGCCTGGGTGAGGGGCCTGTGGTGGTTTGCAAGCTGTCCATTTCCTGCCCTGGTGACCTAAGCAGAGGCCGTGGTATCTGGGATTTATTTATCTTCTATAACTGAAACTTTGTAGCCTTGAGCGGAGCCAAGCCTTCTGCTTGCTTCACTGCTGCAGACATTTTTGTTGGGATTTACTTATCTTCTGTAATTGAAACTTTGTAGCCTTGAGCAGAGACAAGGCAGGCCACAGCTGTGGGAAGCTTGGCTTCCTGCATTGCCGGGGGAAACTCAGGCCTCCTGCTCACTCCAGTTCCGTGGCTGCTGCCATTTTTGTTGGGATTTATTTATCTTCTATAATTGAAACTTCGTAGCATTGATTGGAGGCCTGGGCTGGCCAGGGTGTGTGTGGAAAGTTTGGTTTCCTCCATTGCCAGGGAAACCCAAAACTCCTGCTTGCTCCCTGGCTGCAGCCTTCTTGGTTGGGTTAATTTGTATACTTGCTCCTGATTGGCTGGTGGGTGTGGCTTGTGGGCATACTGGGTGATGGTTAATTTGCATATTACTCTTTTATTGGATAGGATACATTCATTTTGGGAAGAAAGTCACATATGAGGTCCTTTATGCATTGGGACTTACTGTCTGGGAAAAGAATGCAGGGATATTTTCTCTAAAGGTTGCTGCAGTAGCTTCCTGTTGCTAATGTCTGACTTTTACTGGGTGTTCTAGTAAAAGTCAGACATTATTAGATCTTCCAGTATCTAATAAATACATTATGAATTGTTCTGATAATTTCACCTTCCCTTATATTAATGGGACATACCAAGCTGCTGGCTGGTCAGTTTCCAATTCTGTATGAATAATTACTAACAAATAGAAAGAGGAGAGAAATGTTAGGACTAAAGGGCATTTGTAAGCTTCCCACCACAGAACAAAGGCCAGGGGGGGAAAACTTGCGGAATACCAAGAAGCAAACCATAATAAAGAACTGAACAGTCAATTTGCATAGTACTCTTTTATTAGATAGGAGAGTTTAAATGCAGTGTATAAGATGCAGACACTAACTTAGGTATGTTTTGTTTTCTAAGTGTATTGTATCTTGTGTAAGGACATAGCAATAATATCATATCATGCTTACAATCTAATCCCATAAAAATAATGCTATTAATAAACATGATTTTTCTTTTTTTCTTTTTAAGTCATTATTAAGAAGCCCAGAAGTGGTGCAGTTTTTACAGAAACAACAACAGCTATTAAATCAGCAAGTTTTGGAGCAAAGACAGCAGCAGTTTTCAGGACCATCAGTGTGAGGGAATTTATTAAGAAACTCTACATGTTTTTTTAGCTTATTGTAGTAGACAAAAATATTTTTATACTAAGATAGGTAGAGTAAGATAAGCCAGTAGAACATAAGCAGTTATTTTCCTGTAAATATATGTGTGCATTTTGGGGATAAATAGAGATTGCACTTTATGTAACTAATCCTTTCAGATCATCATAAGTTTAAAGAAATTAGCTTATCTTTTTAAAGTAACATTTAATTATAATGTGTTTTTAATAAAATGTTCTTCTGTCATTGTTACTGAAGATTCTGAAGCAGTTAGTTTCTGTGAAAATTATGAAATTACTTTACATTAATCTTGGGTCTAACTCAGTGGTTCTCATCCAAGGAGCAGTTGGAAATGTGGCATGTTTCACAGTGATTGTGAAACTTGCTGGCTTTTAGTGAATGAATCAGGAATGCTACATGTTCTGCAGTATTTGGAATGGCCCCAAACAACTAAGAATTTCTTATTCACAATGCTAGTCATATTCCTCTTAAGAAACACTGATAGCTACCCGTGATGAAAAAATGTGTTAGGAGACTTTTTGCAATTAAGACGAGCTGTCAAAGAGGTAAGTATACTTTATATCTCTAGGGAAAGTTAAATTGTAAATATCTGTGAAATTAGAGTATGTGTCTGTTTTTAGGAATGTGCTAGTGAAATCTGACGAGGATTAATAGTACACTGGAATGAATGCACCTCCACAAGTTTGCTTCTCTTCTTCATGTTGTTAGTGTTGATCTTTTTTAAAGAGACACTGTGTGTGTTGACTTTGTGAACAGTATAGATGTAAGTTCATCCCACCAGTGCCAGGACAAATTATTTTTTTAATACTCATGTATTTTTTAGTAACAGATCCTGAAAAAAAGAGTAACATTCCAGCATTTTGTCAATGTTTTTAAAAATTGAGCTATACTTAAGACTGTGTTATTCCTAAATAATCTTCGAAGAATGATGCTAATATACATAGTTACTTTTTTCTTATATTTTTTTTCCCTAGGAAAACTTTTAAAAGGCAAACCTATCAATAAGAGTAACAAATTACAGTATGTCCAGTGTTAGAACAATAAATGTAGGTGTCTCAAGTTTAACTGCAAAACTGTGTCAGTTTCTTGGTTTTTAAACTCTGAAATATATAATTTAAACTGAGTCATAGCTGTACTAGACACTTAAGGAGAGAAAGAATGTTTTTGTTCATTTTTATATTCTTTAGACTTGCATATCTGTGCAAAAACACTTTTACCAAAATTATTCATTAAAGTTCACTTGTTGACCTTTGAGTTGTCTGATTCACTTACTCTATTATGTAGTTGCTTCAGACTGGATACAGAAGAATTAATTTGCATTTGTAATTAACTTGTTCTCTAGCTTATGGTATTGGGAGCTTTATTGAATCCCTATAGTGTAAGTTAACTTTTATGTGGGGAAAAATAATCAACTGTGCTTTTATAAATAGAACTAGAGGCCCAGTGCATGAAATTCGTGCATGGGGGCTGTGTCCCTCAGTTCAACCTGCACCATTTCCAATCTGGGACCCCTTGAGGGATGTCCAACTGCTCGTTTAGGCCTGATCCTAGGAACAGGCCTAAACGGGCAGTTGGACATCCCTGTCACAATCAAGGACGGCTAGATCCTAACTGCTAACCTACCTGCCTTCCTGATTGCCCCTAACTGCTTCTGCCTGCCAGCCTGATCACCAGTCCCCCACAACTTCCCTCCTCTGCTGGCCTGGTCACCCTTAACAATCCTCCACCTCCCTGCAGGCTTGATCGCCCCCCAACTGCCCTCCCCTGCTGGCCATCTTGTGGTAGCCGTCTTGTGTCCACATGGGGGCAGTCATCTTGTGTGTTGGAGTGATAGTCAATTTACATATTTCTCTTTTATTAGATAGGATAGGAAGAATAGGAAAGGATGGAACTAAGCTAGTGAGAGCTGAATTAAAACAAAAGGGTTTTCATGTAATACCTAGGAGTGAGAAGCAGAATTAGGTAGATAGGGTACAGGGTCGAAGAAGGAGGAATCTTGGAGCTAGCTGAAACCACAAAATGTTTTGGAGAATAGCAGGATAGCAGAAAAATAGGATGTTTTGAGACAAGGATTGCAAAACAGCCAGGAACCAATCAAACTGGCACAGAATGGGCAAAGAATGGGCCGTTAGCAGATACAGGGGTAAGAACAGAATGTTTTGGTGGCAACCTACTTGGATTCTCACCCTGAACAAGGAGTCTTTGTTTGCTTGCAATAAACTCCTGCCTTGTTTGAACTCCTCTCCTCCATGGCTTCATTCCGTGAAACATGACCCTGAGAAGAATTCCTGCTTTCCGGTTCCGGTATCAATATCACATGATCTCATTTACACATAAAATCTAATGAACAGAATAAACTGACAGGTATATTAATAGGTCTAGAGACATGGATTCATGTAGCACACTGGTAGATCTCAGAGGGAAGGGGGTAGGAAGAGATTAAAGAATTATATGCATAGCCGAAACCAGTTTGGCTCAATGGATAGAGCGTCGGCTTGGGGACTGAAAGGTCCCGGGTTCGATTCCGGTCAAGGGCATGTACCTTAGTTGCGGGTATATCCCCAGTAGGGGGTGGTGTGCAAGAGGCAGCTGATCGATGACTCATCGATGTTTCTAACTATCCCTCTCTCTTCCTCTCTATACAAAACCAATAAAATATATTTAAAAAAAAAAAGAATTATATGCATATATGCATGGTCTATGAACACAGCAATGCAATGAGAACCTGAGTTGGGGTGAGCAGGGTTGGGTGGAGGAGGGGAGTTGGGGGACATCTGTAATACTGTTCACAATAAAATTAAATTTAAAAATTTATATAGATTTCCATCTTAAGGGATTGAACTTTTATAGGTCAATGAAACAATTAGGTTTTTATTTATTTGGGTTAGATTTATTGTATTATGCCCTCAATTTTTTAACCCTCTATGTTTTCATGACTTTTGCAATGTAATTTTTCCCACCAGGTGGTTGAGTTTCTTTTCCTACCTCTTAAATCTGGAGGACTGAACTTGTGGCTTGTTTTGGTTAATAGAATGAAGAGGAAATAATATGTTGCCAGTTTGAGTAGACTTTTTTCCAAAGGTTTTGAAAACTTCTGCTTGTTCTTTTGGAACCCTACCCAACTACCATGGTAACAAGCCTAGCTTCGCCTAGCCTGCTGGATAATGAGACACATGGCCCAGTCATCTGTTGTACCAGCCAGTAGTTGGTAGACAGCCAGATAAGCAGTGAAGCTATGCTAGATGAGCTATCCCCAGCCAGCCTGCCAACCGACTGCAGCTACATTGGATACCAATTGAAATCAGCCAGGCTTACCCCAGATGGGCAGAACCACCCAGCTGACCTATAGACTTGTGAGCAATAATAAATGCTGACGATTATAAGCCACAGAGTTTTGGAGTGGTTTGTTATGCAGCATTCTGAGAATAGATAACTGGTACAAAATTTAGTGGCTTAAAACACTTTATTCTCACAGTTCTGAAAGTTGGTATATTATTGGTTCTGTAAATGCTTTCAGGTTTGATGTGGTAGACTGCACTTTCCAAAGATTGCCACAACAAAATCTCCTACCCCACATGCTCCTATGCAACGTGGTCCATTTAGAACTGGATTTTAGCTCAGCTGGCATGGCTCAGTGGTTGAACATCTACCTATGAAACAGGTGGTTGTGGGTTGATTCATCAGGGCACATGCTCAGGTGTTGGAGATCGGGTATAAGCTGACAGAGTCCTTACCCCCGAAGGGACTGGTAAGATTCAGTCCCCTACCCACACAGTGTTCCCTGACCTGTTTGGATGGTGATTTCCAATTGTCAGCAGAATGAGAGCAACCATTCATGGCTTACCAGAAGTCTCAGTAACTATTACTGAGATTTACTGTACCAAGAATTTGTCCTTCTGCTCTATCTCCCTTAGAGATTAAGAGGAACAAATAATACTTTTCTCTTGACCGACTTCCTATTCAAGTGTTTGTGTATAAAAGGCATTACAGAGTTAATAAAGCTGTGGCAGTCTGTCAATGGCTTGCAGCCGTCCCAATCCCACTTTCCTGTCTTTTTATCTTTTTATTTTTAATTCCCATCTCTCTATCTTATCCCAGTTCACCTGTCAGGCTGGCCCTGACTCCCAGGTTGTGGGCTCGGTTCCCTGTGTGGGGCATGCAGGAGGCAGCCAATCAATATTTCTCATAATGTTTCTCTTTCCCTCTCCCTTCTTCTCTGAAATAAAAATATTTTTTAGAAAAACAACAACTGCATTTAATTTTTTAACACCTTGAATCTGGGCAGGCCTTGTAACTGCTTTGACAGAATATGACTGAAGTAATGTTATTGCTAATTCATTTGAGGCTAGAAGAAAGGAGATAATAAGTATAAATGCAGTATATTTATAGTGATAAATGAATTCACTTATTCCATTTTTCAGCAAAGTAATCAGCTAATATGGAGTGAGGGAGTTGATAATAAAAGGCTTTAGGAAAAAGAAAACAATTAGATATGGAAGTCAATGAGAGAGACTAAATATATAGTTTATCTGTTCATAGTAATAGAATTTTTGGTTGGGAACCAACAATACTGCTGATTCTCACGTAAGATCTTGCCAAAGAATTCAGAGACAAGTGATTTTTGGATGATTTCATTTATATATAGTGCAAAAGCAGGTGAAACTATTGTTAGAACACAGCAGTGGTCATCCTTGAAAGGGTATAAAGGGATGGTTCTGATAATACCATACTCCTTTGTGTGTGTGTGTGTGTGTGTCCTGCATGATGATTATACATGTGTGTTCTGTCAATGAAAGTGTGGCAAGCTATACATTTATGATTTTTGCACTTTTCAGTATATTTTCAATTAAAAAATGTTAAGACTCATCAGCCCTTGCAAAAGAATGGGGCCATATAAGTTATGGCCAATGGGAAAAGAGTTATGGCCAATGGGAGAAGAGAGCCCACTTTCCTTCTTCATTCTGCTGCTTGGAATATGGAAAAACAGCAGGTCACTTGTAGGACAAAGGAGGGCAATTCATTGGGGAAGGTGGAACAAGATAGAAAGATCTTGTCCTTGGTTGGCCTTGAGGAACAACCACCATACTAGCCTGGGATGCCGTGTTTTTGGGTTACTAAGTAAAAGAGAGATAGAATATCTTGTGTCTGCCACAGTTAACTTTGATATATATTACATTCAGCCAAACTTATATAATTCTAAATAATACTGTAGGTAAAAGGATTGATGAGTGGCATCAAAGATTTGGCCTCCTAGAAACCAGTAATCTATAGTGGCAATCTGCAGTTATGTTACACTATTTCACAGGGCTCAACCAGCCATAGTAGCAGGAAAGATAGATTGCAAGCTTATCTCGAATTCATTTAATGGCAGAAGATGAATATAGGATTCTTTAAGACAGTACTTTTGGTAGTGGATGTTGTTCTGTCTTAGCATAAAAGATATGAGGCCAACATGGAATGCAGTTTTCTATGACAGTATAGAGCAAGTGTGGGAAGAATGAAAAAGCATGAGATGTTTAACTTAGGAAACAAACTACTAATTACAATGAGTTAGTGAATGACTGCCCCAATTTTGATTATACTCCATAATATGTCTATCAACAAATTAAAAGTTTTGAAATTCTCAGTTATAGAAGCATTTCCAGGCTTTCACTTGAAGAGCATGATGTGGAGAGAGTGAATGAATAAGCCTGTAGGATTTAGTGACTGAAAAGTCACCCACAAAGGGCTCAGGTCAGGGAAAGCCAGAGTGAATTTGCTTCAAGTTCACCAACCAGCAGTTTTAGACTATTGCAGGAACTTGCTAAAAAGTGATAATGAAAAGGAAAGTACAAAAGATGTTATGCTATACGAGTAGTTCATCTACACTAACAATGGAGAAAAAGGAGACAACCGACTATTTGGTCCTCAAATGAAGTATCTGACAAAAACATTTTGGCCAAAAATTATAAGTGAACTATAGATTAAGATTTACTTAAGACTAGGCAGATATTGTCAAACCCCAGTTCTTGAATGTCTCCCATCTAAAATAATTTCTCAACCAAGTTTATGCAACAATGTCTCGGTTGTTGAAAAAAACTGATTCTCCAGTTGAACCCTTTCGTGTTGATACCTGTATGATCAGTCACATGTCTCTCAGGTGACGAAGGATAGAATGCATGAGTATGAATCGGTTTACCACTACACCTTGTGTTGTTAACATCTGAGGGAACTGTGCTGTGAATATTTTTATGTTTTTTTGCTTTTGTTACCAC